TGATTGACAGGCCTAGCTCTGTTCCTGCGTGCTGTGTGAACGGGGGAGTCCTTTCCCTCTAATCAGTTCTCAGTTCTCCTCACTGAGCTATGCAGTGTGTAACTTCAGCTCCTCACCTCCTCCTTTCTGAAAGCTCAGACAAGCTTTATACATTCTGCACTTTGAACGGATGTAGGAAAAAAGACAGCAGCAGATAAACAGGTACAACTTATGTAGGAGGATTTGTTTCATCTCTGTGTATCACCTGAGGCCAGTCACTTCACTGAGTATACGTAGGCGGATATAAAATATACAAATTAATGCATGAATTCATCAGCTAGCAATCAATGTGGGACTGCAAAAATGAGGTGGAGCATTGGGGGGAGGGGGGTAGCGGTGTGTTGGAGTGGTGGCAATTATTTTTTTTTTTTTTAATGCGAACAGTGTAATTCCCTAAATTTGACTTGGCATCAGCCTCTTTCAGTCCCTATACAGCAGAGCTCAGACTGGAGATGGGAGAAGCAGTACAATCAGGTATGCTGCAGTGTAAGGAGCATATTGATAGGAGAGCAAAGTAACAAAGAGTTGAGTCCTTTGATATCCTTTCACTGTCAAGTCACATGCTGGGGGTGTGGAGAAGACCTGTAAGTATTATCATAACTGCAGCACAGAAAAATCTCTTGGCCTGTCAAAAAAAACACTGTGCTTTGTGGCAGAGCTGTGTAAAGCTCAGGGCTGAATGGACTTAAATGCAAATCCTTTGACGGATAAAACAACTGCCATATATTTTCATTTTAAAACATTAATTATATAGTCATGTGACACCAGTGGTCAATCTACCCCAATAGTCACTTTTTTTTAATTTTCCTGATAATATAATATAACATAATATAAAATATAATATCATATAACATAATATAATATAATTATATGTCGGCACTTTGTAACAGAACCCTGGCATTTTTGGGGTGCTAATTAGCTCCATATGTCACAAAGAATCGCCTGTCCCAGGAGTAGGTCATAGAAAAATGTTAGATTCTACAAAGCATTACAGCTACCAACTTTTTTTTTCGGGGAAGGTGGGGGTTGAGGTGGTCTTTTCTTAATCTTTTCCATTGTTCTAAATTTTGATTTTTTTTTTATATAGGTAAGCTATACAATGTGGAGGTATTACAAATTTCTAAAACATGGGGAAACTTTGATGACTCTTCTGCTATATGTGACCTAAGTCAAATCTACACTTAGAAGTGATGTCAAGGAATAAAACACTTCCACATAATCAGCTGCCAGGCCATCACTTCATTGACCGAAGTACGGCCCACAAGGGGCGAAGATCACACATGTGCATTGTTTTCATTTGTTGGAGAAACTGAACCTTGGAGACCATGATAAGCTATTTTGGTTCTTCAGAGCACCATAAGCTATGAATGCATCTCATTATATGTACTCTTCAGAGATGTAAGTTTTATCCTCTTTCCCATTAAACATTACTAAATGTGCAAATCCTAGATGGCAATAAACAAAATATGAGGGATAAGGGAAGTGTCGTATGACCCAAACGCACACTCAAAACAGCTTGAACAGCTCACACGTAATACTGACACATGGTTTGTTTTCCTGTACCATAACGGAAAATGATAAAGTATCAGCACTGTTAAAGCTGTAGTCGGTCCCGTTCCTTTTGGAATGCTAACAGGACATAATCTTGGTAACACTTTTTTTTTTGCATTTGCAGCCTCTCTGGACTATCTCTTGTAATTTTTTTTTTTTTTTTTAGAGTTTAGGTCAATATACACATGTGGTCAATAATAACAGTGATAAACTTATCAAATTAAAAATTATTAATAATTATTACAAAAAAGGATTATTAACAAAATCTATCATTACTTAGAGGACTTTAAATGTATTAATAAGTAAGACCTTTTTTTCTTTATTTGGTTTATGTGTGACACAATGGATGGTGAATACAAAGCAGTGATATGCAAAAATTACCCTTGATCACAATGTAGTTAGCATCAATCTGATACCAATGAGTGCCGTAAAATTAGCTACTAAATACTACAATAAAATCTCCCTAGCCAGTGTCCTCCCTTGTAAAGAATCCTCCACAACAAATAAAATCATATGGCCACAGGGGTTTATGGCAGCTGAGTAAACAGCAACTTGTTTATAGCTGCGTGGCTAGTTCTGGCATGACTTGGAACGAGGAGTGTACTTCCTAATCAAGGGGGTTTTTTTCACTACAAAACCATACGGAAAGCTATATGGGCTTAAAGGATAACTTCACTTATGTAAAAAAAATTAGCAAATGATAAAAAAAAACAAACTAACAGAGCATATACATTTGCTACACAAACAGGGGCGGACTGACAACTCATGGGGCCCCCGGACAATAGGGGATCATGGGGCCCCTGTGTCCTTGCCCAAACTCAAAAAAGCCTATGAAAAAGGTACCAGGGGCATCTCATGGGGCCCCCTACTGACCCCAGGCCCTCGGGCAGTGCCCGAGTTTCCAAATGGTCAGTCCGCCCCTGTACACAAACCATATTGTAAATTAATGTTATTAAAAATTACCTTTTCATGTCAATCTGCAATGCTGTTTTCTGAGAAATTTTATTTAATATGGCAATCCGGAGGCATTCTGTACACCGTTGGTGTACAAAATGGATCCAGAAATGTAATTTCCTGCTTGTGTGATTGGCTCACTAATTTTCCCAGAAGTCCACACTAGGATACAAGTAAAATTTTAGGCATCTTCTGCAACAAAAGTGTCAGTTTTGGTGAGATACTCCCCAAGGGTTACTTAAATGGAGACAGACACTGCAATTTATCTCATCAGAACACTGGGCAGGTATCAGCTATTTATAATGAACCAGTAACTCCTATTTAAAATCTGTAGGCACAGGACATGGACAAACAAACAGCTTTTTCTTCAGAACAGAAATCTGCTGCAAAGTTTGTTAAAATCCGTTCAATGTACATTGATCACTCAACAAGTGATCAACAAAAGTGGAGTTACAATTTAAATAAGTGTGATTTAATTTATGATGTGCAAATATCACACTGGCTAACTAACTAAATCACTGCAAACATCACATGCGATATTCAAGCGGTATCACAAATCATTTCCAAATCCTCAAATTGTGCAATGCACAAATAGATATTGTACAGGTTTTCACTCCTTAAAATAGAGCTAGCTTTTGCTTGGCATCAGAAGAGCTCAAAGTCAAGCCATTTGATGAGACAAGATACCAATTCCAGTGTGATAAAATATCAACTCAACAGGTAACTCAAGCTGGCCATTGATGGATCAAAATTCAACCAGTTTAGCAGGACCTGACAAATTTCAATCCATCTACAGGCAGGCTGGTTGTACTGAAGCTGATCTATCTATCTATCTATCGACTTCAGTACAGCCAGCCTGTTGTGTTTTTTTAGTATGACCACTGCTGCTAGCTATAGCCACCAGCAGTGATCATTGTATTACATATAAAAAAGTCATTTTGACATATATTTTTACCTATATTTATAAATGCATTCCAAAAATTTAGATTTGTATTTTTAAAGACATACAGTATATTTTAAATGTATTTTTAAAAATATTTTTCATATATTTTGTAATAAAAACGCATTTCAACATGCAGTATGTATATATATATATATATATATTTATTGAAATATATTTTGAAATATATTGAATATGGCCAAAATTGTAGCATTCGACCAGTTTAGCAGGACCTGACAAATTTCAATCCAACTACAGGCAGGCTGGTTGTACTGAAGCTGATCTATCTATTGACTTCAGTACAGCCAGCCTGTTGTGTTTTTTTTAGTATATATATATATATATATATATATGGCAAATGTATTAAATGTAGTATAAATATATGGCAATATTTTTTTTGAAGAATATTTGTAAAATATATTTCAAATATATCTCAAATATATTTTAATGTACAGCGAACTGTTGGCGCTTTATAAATACTGTATAATAATAATAATAATAATAATAATATATTTTTCTTCCATGTGGGTACAACCAATGTGGGCTACAACATATACTGAATTCTTGATGGCAACGAATATGGTATTCTGGGTTTTAAAAAATCTTCCATAATTATATACAAACTCTACATACGTAGGAGGTTTTGGCCTTGTTTACATACTGTAAAATAGAAGTCAACATTCTAGCTACACTGAAAAGACAACTACTACTATGTTATTGGGCTTACCTAAACACAGGACAAAGAGCAGCAATATGCTAACACTCATGGCAAAACAACAATCAGCAAAAGATTTAAAAAAATGGTATCCCTTTAATCTCTTGCCACCCACCTAACAAATATATGCAGCAACAGCACAACACATGTGCATCTATGGACAGCTGTGCTGAGAACATGTTCACTGTTCACTCCCAGCACAGCGACAGAGCTGTCAAAGACACCTTCCAGTCTGTACTGATGATCAGGAAACTGGTGGGATCAGCTCCCAATCACCTGACCACTGTGACAGCCAATCACAGAGGTCACATGATTAGGCAGACCCTCCCACCCCCTGGGCAGGGGAGGGCAGAAAGGGGTTAGGAAACAACGGGTCGGGGGCAGCTAAAAAACATATTGTTTCCTTGTATGAGAGCCACAGTAGGCCAGAAGCACAGCAATAGCTGCAGTATACGGTGTCAACACAAGTAATAATTTTGTATGAAACAGCAGCAATAAAGCCCACAAATATGCCTCAGGAGAGGTTTATTGTATGCTCACCTAAAATTAAAAAAGTGTTTGGAGTTCTGCTTTAACTGACACAAGTATTGCTAAGCGTATAGTGTTACTAAACCCAGGACCCTGCATTCACTATATCTGGTCTCCCACAATACACACACCATGGAAATGCAATTATTTTAGTAAATATAAACTGCTAAATATCTTTTCTCATCAGCAGTCATGTGACTACTATCAGTGTCCAGCAGAGCACTGGTTAAAGCTTGTAGGAGGAGTTTTCATTCTCTCCTGATTGTCCTATGAGGTTGCGGAACCCCTGACCCCCTGTCTGGACAGTGCTGATTGGCCCTGTGCTGATCACATGCACTCTCCCAAAAAAAGAAAAAACCTCTCTAGCAATAGACACCAAACTTAGCATGTGCAGCTGCCCCCAAGGCTCTATTCTATCAGCAGATGGATTGGGGACTGTGGAAGAGGGGCGGGGGGATCAGAGGAGACAGAATCAAACAGACTTTTTACACAATGCAGAGGATTAACCCCTTAAGTTTCACAGTGAGTATAACAAGCATGCTTTACTGCATATACAGAGGGCCACCCTAGCACTGCAAGGGTTAAATGCTTGTTCTGTCTAGGCGGTAGAGAAACAGGGGGGATTATTTGCCCTAACTCCAGCTCTGGCCAGCTTTGCGCTGCCCTCTTCTCACGGTCCGTCTTTTATCACGTACAATGCAGGGCTATTAGCCCTGCACTGTACGTGGTGGAGTCCAGTGTGCAACAGCGGCCATCAGAATAAGGTCTTTTTTTTCTTATTCCAACACCCCTAGATATAAAAAGCCTTTAACCCTTGCATTGCCGGGTGGCCCACTGCAAGAGTAGGTCCCCCCCCCCCCCCCCAGTTCCTGGAGTTAGGCTGTAACAGTCTTACAAAAAATTGCTCAATACATATCATGCAACCACAAATCATCTTTTCATCTACTGGTCCAGTAAAGCTGCTAAAAATATTTCTGGTTCTCATGGCCACAGAGCATGATTGTTCTTGGCATGAAATGATTAAATAATCTGTCACTTTGTATTCTTTAAGAATGAACAAAACAGCGTTTAGAGAAATGAGTCATATTTGTCAAAGTGACATGAAGTCCAGTAATCAAAACTGTAAGCCGTAGTGAAATCTGGAAAAAGTGACAGTATGGTCACTCTTCAGTGTATGCCATGACCATAGCACAATATGCACCATAGAATTGTAAAGTAAAGCCAAGAATTACTCTGCTGGTGTCCTAGGAGGGAAGCCAAAAATATCAATCAAGTTTTTTTTTTTTGTGAAAATTTTATTTAGCATAGTAGCTTCATGATGTCATGTGGAGAGCCTGCTGTCGCTTTCCAGCAATTTGTAATACTAGCTCTCAGTTTTTCCACCACCTGTACTTGCAGCCTCTTTAAGTACCTTATGGAATGAAGATACAAAAGTTATGGAGCTAGGACAAGCAAGATAAAACCGATTTGTTCCACATCATTTGGAAGTGGGAAATAGAGTTCCTCTCTAGGGATTCCGTCTTAAGCTATAGAAACCAGCAACCTAATCACCAAAGTGTTCCTGCTAACATTTCATTCTTTAACAAGCTCTGAAGAACAATGCAAAAGAAACTTTCCCTTTCTATTCCATCCATACGTCTGTTTTCTACAGCATTTAAAAACCTACAGAAGCCAGAGTTCTGAATTTGACAGACAGATAGATAGATAGATAGATAGATAGATAGATAGATAGATAGATAGATTTTTGGAGATTTGATTTTATGAAACTTATCCACAAGATGGCAGCGGTCAACAAACTTTAAAAGACTAATTTTTCAGCAAACCAATAATCTAGGCCCAAGCAAGTAGACCAAATCAAGCCCCAATATCAGTATGTCTAAAGCAGTAGGGGTCAATTTTCTTGGTATAAGGTGTCTTAAGTGTGGCCCCTGGCATCACCAAAGAGTCACGCATAATATTCAGTAAATGTATTGCATCAAAAAGCTGTCAGAGATTGCACACATACAACTGGAGATGATCAGAGGCTACAGGCATGCTACAACAGATGGTCAGAGACTATGGGCATGCTACAAGAAATTATCAGAGACTATGGGCATGCTACAAGAAATGATCAGAGAGTACAGGAATGCTACAAGAAATGATCAGAGACTACGGGCATGCTACAAGAAATCATCAGAGACTACGGGCATGCTACAAGAAATGATCAGAGAGTACAGGAATGCTACAAGAAATGATCAGAAACTACGGGCATGCTACAGGAAATGATTAGAGACTACGGGCATGCTACAAGAAATGATCAGAGAGTACAGGAATGCTACAAGAAATGATCAGAGAGTACAGGAATGCTACAAGAAATGATCAGAGAGTACGGGCATGCTACAAGAAATGGTGAGACTGCAAATGTGCTGTAGAAGTTGTTGGAGACAGAGGACATGCTTCAGGAACATCACATTACATGAGACTGTGCTATTTCAGAACAATAAGGAACACAGAGGCTACCTTTTGCAGGGGTCCCTGGGCCTCAAGTTGGGCACCAGGGATCTAAAGTGTTACAGAGTACAGAAAAGCACATTGGTATCAGGACACCATCTCTCGTACAGGGCATTCACTGATAGTGAGAGCAGGGCTGCTGTTAGAAACCACAGGGCCCCATACAGCCAACCTGGCAGGGCCCTCCCCTTCCAAAAAAAACAAACAGTTTGCTATGCTTTAGTTATGAATGTACACAGTGAGTGATTGGTACCAATCACTCATTGTGTTCATTCGGGGAAGGAAGGGGCTGGTAAATGTGATGTATTTACTGGACCTTTCCCCCACTCTCCATCCTGAAGGATGGTGTTGTGTGCTTGCAGCTGCTGAAAGGAGTGGAGGGAAGCCGGCAGCACTGTGGGGGTGGGGGCACATAGGGGGGCCTGGGTAGCAGGAGGAAACATATGGTGCACAGGGAGGGTGATGGGTGCGGCAGGCGGCAATTACTGGAACTGATCCCCTGTATGGCTCTCTCTGTAGCAGCTGAAAGCCAGCAGGAGTGAGAGAAGAAGAAGCCAACTTTCAGCTGCTGCAGAGAGAGCCATACAGGGGAATCGGTCCCAGTAATTAACCCCCTCCCACCATACCGATCACCCTCCCTGCCCACATCCAGTTCACCCAGCTGCCTAGGCCCCCTGCCGGCCTGGGCCCCGTACAGGAGAACTGGTGGTACCCCCTTATCTACAGCCCTGAGTGAGAAACTATGGGCATGCCTCAAGAGATGGTTGGAGACTACGGGTATACTTCAATAAATGGTCAAAGACTGCGAATATGCTGTAGGAGTTGCTGGAGACTGGGGTCATGCTTCAGGAGATAAAGACAGGAGTCACATTACACCCTACTCCAGGGCAATAAAAAAACCCAGACTACTGTCTGGAGAGGCACCCAGGGCCCACAAGCTGGGCACCAGGAATCTAAAGTGTCAAACTTTAGTACAAACCATTTAGAGAGTACAAAAAAACACATTGGTATCAAGGGACCATCTCTTGTACAGGGTATGCTTCTAGAGATGGTGAAAGACTACAGACGTGCTACAAGAGATGGTCAGAAACAGCAGGAAACACAGACTATTGTCTGCAGGGGCCCGCAAACTGGGCACCAGGAATCTAAAGTGTTAAATGTTAGTACAAACCCATTTAGAGAGTACAAAAAAAAACACATTGGTATCAAGGGACCATCTCTTGTACAGGGTATCCTTCTAAAGATGGTGAAAGACTACAGGAATGCTACAAGAGATGGTCAGAAACAGCAGGAAACACAGACTATTGTCTGCAGAGGCTCGCAAACTGGGCACCAGGAATCTAAAGTGTCAGACAATCACAATACAAACCAATTTAGAGAGTACAAAAAAAAACACATTGGTATCAAGGGACCATCTCTTGTACAGGGTATGCTTCTAGAGATGATGAAAGACTACAGACGTGCTACAAGAGATGGTACAGAAACAGTAGGAAATACAGACAATTGTCTGCAGAGGCTCGCAAACTGGGCACCAGGAATCTAAAGTGTTAAATGTTAGTACAAACCCATTTAGAGAGTACAAAAAAAAAACACATTGGTATCAAGGGACCATTTCTTGTACAGGGTATGCTTCTAGAGATGGTGAAAGACTACAGACATGCTACAAGAGATGGTCAGAAACAGCCAGAAACACAGACAATTGTCTGCAGAGGCCCGCAAACTGGGCACCAGGAACCTAAAGTGTCAGACAATCACAATACAAACCAATTTAGAGAATACTGAAAAACACGTGTACAAAGCAGCATATATTTATCATATACATGGAATATTGCTCTGAATTATGTGAAAACTGAGCTCCAGCCTTAAACAGGTCTAGTACAGGATCCTCTCTCGTGCGATACAATGTACATATAATTTTATGGGACCATTTTTGTTCAAATTAATGGTCTGGCATGGTCAACCTGTCATGAGAGAAGCATGGCTACCTTTCCTGACCTCTCCTTCTTGCCATCATACTGGCCCTTTTACTCCCATACTTTTGGAGTTACTGACTTAGAACAAGCACGCAGATAAGGACTTCTGACATTTTCAAACATTCCTGATCTGCATAGTTGTTCTGGGTCAATGACTTGGAAGTATTAAAGCATTGGGTCACGATAACAGTACATTTTTTAGAAGCAGGTCAGCGATGATAGCCTCCATATTTCCCCCATAATTGGTTTACGGTAACATATAACAAGTGGTCAGCAATCCTATCTGAAAACCGGAATCAGAAGGCTTTCTATGCTAAGCTACATACCATCATTAAAGTGCAATACCGTATAGGCCAAACTTACATGGAAAATGATGACAATTAATGCTTCTTTTTTTATTCTCTTTGTAAATAGGCATTAAAAAGCCTATTACAACTGCTTGGCTCACCGATACTTTTATCGACAGGCGTTAGCAGTTAAATGCTTGAAAGGGCTTTTCTTAATTAGACAGCAGCAATTTTACTTTGAAACCTGTTAGATGTTTCCTTTAAACCTCAGTGCTATTTTTATGTTTTATGACCTGTAATGAGGGGGTGGATGTTTCCTATTGTGTCCAATACACATCACTGTGGAACTACCAGGAAGATCAGGGCCAACAAGTTCTAAAACCTAACAGTAAACCATATGTCTGAATTTGAACACGCTCATATTTTGCTACACATCAAGTTCCATTGTGGAATACATTTATGACCAATAAAATTCTATATTTGATGCAAAATTCAGCGTGAAATTCATAGTTTGCTAGTTTGATTGGTAGCATCTGCAGGCATAAATAGCATAGTAAACAGATGAATACTGGATGATTTAGGTCATATACTGATGAGAAAATATGTAGCTATTGGCAGCATTTTTAAAAGCTCATTTATCAGTTAATAATTTTCTGTTTATTAAAGCTGGGCATAGGCCTCATTCACATAGGGCATACAATACAGTACACCCATGCAGGGCTGTCTTTACCCACACAGGGGTGCACAGGTGTTCCATGCATCCCCATTCAGGCAGTCCCATTGATGTCTACTGGGACACAGAGGCTGCATAGACACAGGGGACCCACATCCGTACCCACATGAATGACATATTGGGACACAGGAAATGTGGCTGTGCAACTGCTGCATCCCAATGGACATCAATGGGACTGCCTGCATGGGAATGCATAAAACACCCGTGTATCCCCATGCAGGTAAACATGGCCCTGAATGAGCATACAGTATTGTACGGCCAGTGGGAACGAGGTCTTCAGCCTGTGGGCTGAACAAAAGAAATCTAATTAATGCCTCCATTTACCCTAAACAGCAAAGATGGATGAACCTCCTGCTGATGGCTATTGTGACAGCTGGTGTTGCTGGCTATCAGAATACCCGAACAGTGCCTGCATCTGTGGGGCTGTCGATTTTCAACCCAGTTCTGTTTGAAAAAAATCGACTTTGTTGGTGTTGCTGACAGGCCCACCCACAGAGTGAATTGCGTCCGATTCAGCAGGCATCAGGTGAAATTCAATGCCTGTATGACCAGCTTAAAGTGTTACTAAACCCAGGACCCTGCATCCACTATATCTGGTCTCCCACAGTACACAGAACATGGAAATGTAATTATTTTAGTAAATATAAACTGCTAAATACCTTTTCTCATCAGAAGTTAGAGCAGTCTTGTGGCTTCTAACAGTGTCCAGCCCAGCACTAGCTAAAGCTTGTAGGAGTTTTCCTTCTGCTCTAAGAGAATGCAAAACCCCTGACCTCTGTCTGACCAGTGCTGATTGGCCCTGTGCTGATCACTTGCACTCTCCCAAGGAAAAAAAAAAACCTCTCTAGCAATACACACCAAACCGAGCATGTGCAAATGCCTACGGTTCAGTCTGTCTTAGCAGGAGATGGTGGTCACTTGAAAAAGGGGAGGAACAGAGAAAAAAGTATCAAACATCCTTTTTACACAATGCAGAGGATTAACCCCTTAGGTTCCACAGTGAGTATAACAAGCATGCTTTACTGCATACACAGACTGATATTACTGTTGTGGGTTTAGTAACACTTTAAGTACTAAGCCTATGTTCTGGCTGCTGAAAAGATTATATGGCCTCTTGCACATGGATACCTAATAACAACACATTTTTCTGATCTAAATGCAGCCCATTATTCTTAATGGGTCTATACACACAGGTGGGTAAACTTATGCTGTGTATAGACCTGTAAAAAAAATACAAACATCTGTGTTGCTGGATAGTATTTTACACACATGTATACACACATACGCATGTACAACAAATCCCAAGAAAAGCTAGGATTTTTACACTACGCACATTGATTATACTGCCCATCCACGTTTTCATGCAAGACTTTTCTGCCTGAAATCCGATGGTCATACATCAGTGCTGTATGCAAGTACCTTGGGTTAAAGGTTCAATCTGAATTTTGAGGGTCCATTTATGTGCACATTAAGACATGATATATTATATATTAAATTGGAGTTCCACCTAAAAAAAAAAAAAAAGAAGTCAGCAGCTACAAAAACTGTAGCTGCTGACTTTTAAAATACAGACACTTACCTGTCCCTCGGTCCAGCAGTGTCCTCACCACCACTGGTTTCACCGGCCGTCTTCTCTCCCTGCTGTGGGCACCCGGCTGTGACAGCTTGTGGCTTCACAGCCGGGTGCCCACTGCACATGTGCGAGAAGCGCTGCGCTTTGTGAATGGCCCTGTAGTCTTCTGGGACCTGTCACGTGTCGCAGAAGACTACGGGGAGAGAAGGGGGGGAGGACAACTTCCGCTTCCGATCGCCTAGGCGATTGCAGCGGAAGTGGGAGCGGATACCTATCAAATTTGGGTGCCCACTCCCCAAGGGTTCCAATCCTTAATGGGGAGCGGGGGACAAACGCTTAAAGCGGAACTTCCCCTTTTTAGTGGAGCTCCACTTTAAATGCATTGCATTAAGGCATCCCATTTGCTCAAATGCCAGAAAAAAAAAAAAATACCTGAGAGGCGCTGGGGTTTCAATGCATATTCAAACAACCAGACACAGGAAGCTTTTAGATAAGCTCAACATCTTTGATGAGGAAACCCCAAACATAAACAAGCTTCCTTCAAACAGGTACCAGGAAGTAAACATAAACAAATGGACACCAAATCGTAAAGTGAAAAAATCCAGAAAAATGTTTAGGACCTCATGCACGCTGGGCATATACCCGGGTCCTCGAAATGCCTTTTCGCCTTACAGTAGAAAAGCAGCTTTAAAAAAAAACGTGCCTAATGCTCCATTTTGCAAAAGTGTTTAGGTGCATCAAGTGTATGGATGTTCATTCATTCCATTGGCCAGAATATTAATTTTTTTTCTGGCCACTGAAATGAATGAACATTCAAGTGCTAACCTTGCCTAGCATTTAGGGGCATTTAGACTTATTTACAGTTTAGGCACTTCAAGTGTTTTTTTCTGGCCAAAAGCTCCTCTCCTAAATGTCCTTCTTCTAATACGCCTGTATACACCTATGTGTGCATGTACACATAGGCTAACATAGAGGGGCATTTAGAGGCAGAAAAAGAAAAACATCACTTGCGTGTGATTTGGTAAATTAAAAATAACTAATTCTAAAACATCTGCCTGACAGCCTGGCATACAGCATTTTCAGAAAAAAACTACAGAACTAGCAAGCTTACACATTTGTTTGCTACTGCTAGTGTGCCTAAACCCAAATTTTCCAACTGCACTCAGAAACATAAAATACAAATAATCCCTAGGATATTTTCAGTGAAACAGTTTTTGGTTATATAGCAAACTCTGTACTCCTGCGCTTCAGGATGGGCTTGGCTAGGGCTATGGTAACATCCCAGATATCCTGGAAAATGCACTCCTTGCTGCCCTCATCGGACCGGGGTAGTCCGCTGTATCTGAGGTCAAGACCACGAAACGCATTAGCCTGTTGGAAGTCCAGGGTTCTATTTTTTTGGACTTATATGCAATGTGGATTGGAAACCGCTGTTTAGTGTGATGTGCCTTTGACCTGTTTGCCTATTGTGAGTACGATGCTTACTTTTTATCCTTCCAATACATTTTTTTACGATAATGCACTAGGCTAGTGCGCCCTCTGTTTGTTTTAATTTGTATCCAGTTTTGGGTTATATGCAGTTCTACTGGCCTCAACTCTACAAACTAACCAACGTCAGTTTGTAGAGTTGGGGCCAGCAGAGCTGCATATAACCAAACGTACTTACCAAAGTACAACCAGCCTGTTGGGTTTTTCCCAATTGGTAAGCACCACCAGCTGATCACTGTATTCTGACAGCAGGGAAGTCTCCCTGCTGTCAGAATAGAATAACTCAGTGGGAGGATACCCTCATCCACATCAAATGTTTGAATAGGTAACCGAGCCATTTTTTTTCATTCAACTCACTGGTTGAACGAAAAAAAAAATGATGAATGCATGAGCTGCCTTACACAAATCCTGAAAGAAATGTGTGCATTGCCTGGAGCCACCGTCCAAATGCCTGCACGAACAGATAGGTGAATCTTCCTTTCCTTTAGGTTCTGCACATTATATTTAGTGAGCTATTTGCTTGATATATGAGCTGTATTGCATTCTCAGTAATTCTTTGACGCAAGATATGCATCCTGATGAAGTCAAAAGGCTTAATGAATAACAGAGAAACCTGAGAAATGGCTTGCTTTGGACATTTATATAGCAAAAGTGAACAAGTTCAATGGGTTCAGCATTGCTGAAACTTCTCAGAAGGCAAGCAACACAAGGAAAACAAACAACCAACACAGCTATGATGTGAGGGCCTCATCCCTACTTGACCCTATGAAACGGAGAATTTCTACAGAGTTAAGTGATAAGAACAAGATGCTTGTGCTTTCATCAAGGATGGTCTGCTAATGACTACACGAGCTTCGATTTTTCAATCTGACCTATCTTTCCTTCCAATTGATTTATAGATTGTATTTAATCAATCCGATCACCCGGGGTGGAATATTATCCTCCATTTGTATCAACTGGCAACACTGAGATACTTTGGTCATGAATATGACTGTATTTTGACTGATCAGATTATGAGCACATGTTGGAAATGTTCATTACTAAAGATCGAATCTTGACTATTGATCAAAATCCACTTCCCAGTGTGTGGCATATTGATGGAATGAGTTGTTGACTATAGGAAGAGAATAATCAGAAAAGAAAACAATAATTTATCAAAGGGTGTATGGCCACCATAAAATGAACATTCAGCATTCTGATATTTTTACACCTGTTAAACACTAGTGCAGCAGTACGAAGTTGTGAAAACTTACCAACAAGCCAGTCGGAGAGAAGTCGATCATTAGATTTTATTTTTTTTTTATTTTCCTGGAACATGATTGGATATTGTTTGTAAATGTTTACTTTGTTTTGCCTCTTTCAATAAGAAGAGTGAAAATCCACTTTAAAAAGTGAACGTGCTCTACTACTTTAGTAATTTCCCTTGATGTCTCCGAATTTTGTGTTGGTATGTTGTCCACTCATTCACTGACCAATGAACATCCTGTAAATTCCTATTATCAGTTTCTTATTCCTTTTGGCCGATGGCCAATAGTTCAGTAACTGTCTAGGGGCCCTGGATTTACTAAGGACTGAATAGGATTTTATGATTACACAATAAAACTGTTGCTTCCAAAGAGAAGATAAGCCATTCCATGCCAAGCTTTTAAATTGCTGGAGTACAAATCCTTCCACAAGCTAGGGAAAGCACAAAAAATGCAATTAGGATGGATTCTGTATCTGTCTCCCTTGTGTTCAGTAAGCAGGTCATTGTCCACTGGAATGCCAGCCCTGGAGGCTTCAACTCATGTTTTGTCCTGAATTCAGAGCTGACAAGATCTTGAAAACTGAGATCATTCTGATAAGCCATTGAAAATGTGCAGTCAGGTTCTCTCAAGGCAGTCTTGAATGGAAAGGGAAAAGTCAAGACTGCAGTGTAACATGCATGCTAAAAAAGACAATTATGGGTCATGTCCCAAAGTTAAAAGTGTTTAAGATCAACAACCTCTTATATGCAAGTTTTGATTAAAACCGAAAAAAGAGTTATAATGAAATTAACAAATGCATTTGTTTAATTTGTTTCATTCAGATGATGTCACATAATACGATAGTAGTTCAGGCCCATGGGGAAATTAATTCAATTTCAAATATGTTCTATAATTTGAATTCTTATATGCAGGTTTTGGTTACACAGCCAATTTAATCAGCATCCAAAATGTCAGCTTTATGGATCTGTAGCTTGTTTAGGAAAGTTTTCATTTTCCTGTATGAATTTTATAATGTAGTTGGAGTTGTTTTTTATCCCAAGAGCCATTTAGGCTCAAGTCAGTTGGTTTCGTAGAAATATGTTACTCCACAATTTGCCTATTTTATAGTATTTTAACTTTGCTTACTAGTCGCCTCATATAATTGATGGAGTTGGTGATTGATCCTTTTTATTCTAAGGCAAGCCTCATATGGCCAGATCTTGTAGGTCTTTGACATGATTGCCTCTGTGCTGATTGACATAAGTTTTTCCAGTCACAGACAACAATATGTTGGGTAAATGAACAGTGCAGGGTGATTTTTTATGATATTTTTTGAAGTCCAACATCGTACGTTGCATTGGTTGGTTTGGGTCTTCTACCTGGTCCATTTGCTAGTTATGGTTGACTCTCTGGCCAAAATTGTGCTTTGTATAGCAAGTCTTAATAATTTTAACTATATATATGTATACACAGATACTAATTTACTTTACTCATTGCTCAATTATTGTCTTTTGTTCTCCACTATCTTATAGAAACCATGAATGCCCCAGAAAATGGTGGCCAGTTATAAAAGACACGTGTTTGATTTAGATCCATTTTTCGTCCGAAAATTTCATTTTCGGAAATTTGGATGTATATGAATCTCTGAATGGACATAGTAATGAATGTCAATGAATCAGAAAAAAAAAGTTATAACTAAATTAACTAAGGCATTTGTTTCATTCGGTTGACATCATATGATGCGATAGTAGTTTGGGCCCATGAGAAAATGA